TCTCTCTGCTCCTGTCTGTCTCTGTATCTGTGTCTCTGTCTCTGTCTGTTTCCTCTCTCTCTTGACATAGGGTCTCTCTTTGTAGTCCTGACTGGCCTCAAACTCACAGCAATTCTCCTGTCTCTTCCTCCCAAGTGCTGGGATTAAAGGCATGTGCCAACACACTGGGTGTTTCTCTAATCCTCAAGAGAAATCTGATGGAGTTGAGAGAGAAGCAAAGTCTCTCCTTTTCCCCGTGAAAAGTATTCAGTGACTGATCTTAAAAACATGTCCATGATTCAGACTCAGTAGATTCTGCATTCAACTCAGAAACTCAAAAAAGAAACAACAACAACAAAGCAAACAGAAATACTCTGACTTTGGAATCTCCAGCATGCTTAGTCACCCACCGAGGAAATATGAATTTTCAGGGAGAAATTAACTAACAACTCATCTAAGCATATGTAAACAAGCTTTGTGGCACGCTAGCCCTCTGGCTCTATCTTAGCTTTGACTCTGCCTGAGCTCTTATCTTCCCTGGTTCAGCTCACCGGTCAACTTTAGGGTTTGCTCTGCATTTCCTTTCCTGCCAGCCATGGGGTGCTGGATGTCATGGACTCTCCCAGCAAAGGTTAGAAATGGACTGTTCAAGAAAGATGGTAAGAGTTGTGCCAGTTTGCCAGGGACACAGCACGTATGTAGGAAAAGGCCGATAAAAGGATGAAGGCTCCAGTCTGCCACGCTGCCTCACCGTGGTCTTACCTAACATTGTCTAAACTCACTTCTGAGAAGAAGAATGCTCTTCTGGCATACTTCCGTCGCCTGGCTTCTTTGGGGTTATTTTTCTCCAGTCAGCTTACCCCTCACTCTCTGGTTACTTTCTCAAGATGTCCTCTGGCAACCAGAGCGAATTCATTGTGCCTTACTGCTATGATTTCTTCTTTCTGCTCAATATCTTGTCCCAAACATCAAAGGCCTTCTTTGAAGATAAGGCCAAATTCGTCATTAGGAAAAGAGAAATTATTCCCTAGCTATATTTTAGAGGACAGTAAGAAGCAGAATCCCTCTGCTTTTTGTGAGATAAACAATGCTTGGTCCATCAGACCACAAGGCATTCACTGTGATACCACTGACAGAGACATAAACACTTGGTGTTCCTCACCCAAACCTATACAGGATCTTTCCACAGCAAGCTTAGATGCCAAATCACTTAATGATCTGTCTCCAAAATATCTGACAGGGTTTTCCTTGGGAGAAGGGGCTCACATGGCCACAAGTTCAGCCTATAGGAGTGTATGAACAACTAGAACCAACCAGCACCTAATCTACATTCCATTCGACTCTTCTAGCTCTGACGGATGAGAAACACTGTCATGGTGGTAACACAGACCGGGAACAAACAGCTGACTCAGCAGGTCCGAGAGAGAAGACCAAGGACAGAAAAGCTCACCTACGTCTTCACCTTCTTCACTACTACCCTCAGGCGAACATTTACAAGACTTCACGGGTCATGGAGTCCATGAAGCCTGTTTTAAGGCCGAAAAAATAGAGCTGCTTCATCTTACACACAATGAAAATAAGAGTTCTGGAGTCCTTGCTGATTATTAGGTGCGGTGCTATAAATTACAGTAATCTGTTATTAATCTATTTTATGATAAGTAAAAGGAGAAGAAAAACATTTTTTCCTAAGGTCTCAGGCCTCTTCACTTTTCCGCTCACCTACCTCCTTGCTAGAACTGATGAGCAGTAAAGAACAATGGCTATATTTTTACAAAACCATCATCTTTGCTCCCAGCAGAACATTTTCATTAACATTCACAAAATGCTTCTTAAAGAAGCATCAGTGGGCCGGATACTTAATAAGAACAGGGCCCTGGACGACAGGGTAGTAGACAAGGAATGAACTTGTCAGAAATCAATGGTCAGTTACTCTTCAGTCAACCCAGAGCAGAGGGCATTGGCTCCGCTAAGTGGGACAGAGCACATATAGAAGATGAGAGATGTGGATGTTAAAGCTGAGTGGCAAACTGGTCATGGGGCTGCACCATGTGATGGATAGGTGCTGGGTCATTGTGAGGTGGTTGCAGGTGGGCACTGGGGATTCTCAGTGTGGCCATAGTGAAAAGGAAAGAGGGGTGGATAACAGAAGAATGATCAAAGAAGGCCCGAGGAGCGTGAAGAAGGAGGATGACTGTGAAGGAGGCAGAGGCAGCAGAGGGCAGTGGTCGGAAGCAGTGCATATGGAGTTTCAGGGCTGAGGCTCACACTGCCACCTGAGCCACCCTTAGAGCTTCTTTCCTGTATTCTATCCTGACTCAAGCCAGCCCTGAGGGACCAAAGAGACCAAGTTCTTCCCTTGGAACACTTTTGTAAGCATAAGTTTCTAGATTCAAAGCAGACATGTTCTACCAACTCCCCTACTCCAAACAACTGATTTAGACTCATAAATTATTAAAAAAATATATTGCATGTTAGGGTCCCATAGAAGAGCATACACAAGATTTGATTTATTCTCACCAACAGCAATGTGATAGTGTGTGTGTGTGTGTGTGTGTGTGTGTGTGTGTGTGTATTCTCTGTGAGTCTTTGGTCAAATGATAAAAATACTTCAGAGATGTCTGATGACAATGGTCTACACTTCCATCACAGCTACAAAAAGTATATACGTACAAAAATGTATGAAACTTACAGCTACATATGAAAAGTAAGAAGTTGATTTTAGGATGGGATTATGGGTAATTATACAACCAGTTCTCGAGTAGCAGTAGACATTATATAATCAATGAAAACTGAGGGGAACTGGTCTTTGATGAAGAACATTCACTCACCAGGGAGCTCCCATCCTGGTGTCTGTAAATATTTGTTGCATGTAGAAGTGACAAGAAATTACATATGTTAAAGTAAAAGTTTTTTTTTTTAATGGAGACACATCACTCTTTCCTCTCCCATTTCCATCCCCTTCCCCCAAAATTAGGGAGCTTAGAAAGTGGAGGAAAGAAAGCAAATTCCCAATGTATAATAACATCTTCTGAAACCTGTTAGCTCTTTCTTATTCAAAGACCAGAAAGTATGAGATGGTAATTACCAAGTGCAACTGGATCTTCAGCTATTGTTAGAAAGACACAAAGATAAACCCCTAAGTCATTAAGCATATCAGTGACTACTGAAATTTGAACCCAGACCCCCCAGGGCCCTTGGAGCACTATGGTACTTCTTGCCTTCTTTTCTTAAACCCCAGGAGCTTGTGGGGAAGTGAACAGAATTACTTCATGAATAAAATCTCCTATTCACTGTCAGGCCTTGGAAACCACAGAGAGGCCTGGAAGAGAGCAGGGATCTCATGCCACTGAAAATACACTTCAAAGACAATAAAACCTTTGGACCCATTTGGAGGATGGAAAGGGACATAAATTACAGTCTTTATCATGAATTGGACAGCCAGTTGGCAGCTAAGCAGGGTCCTCTTAAGGTTGGCCCCTAGCTTCTTCCTCCATAGCTGTGGTCAAAGAACTTGCCCATCCTGGACTCTGTTAACTTTCACTTCCAACTGCCCATGATTTGGCCTCTTCTGAGTGAAAGTCTCTTGCAGTGCTTTGTTTCTGAGCTATCATAAAAATGAGTCAAAGGGCCAGTGTCTGAGATCTCAGTCCTTGGATTGCATAGGTATAAGCAGCCTCATCCTGAAGGGACAAATTCTGAGTCTCCACAGGAGCTGGCCGCATCAGCCAATAGGCATAGGGAGAGAGAAATTTAGCTTATTTTATTGTTTTGCCCCTTTACATAAATCCTCTCTGAAAAGTCATCTAGTTGGGAAGTCATAACTCTACTGCTATTTCCACCCCAACTCTGTCCCGCTGACCCCAGAGTACTTCAAGATCATTGTGGGAGCCTCCTGGGTCTCAATTATTAGACCATTAAGAAGGGCCAATTATAAGACTTCAGAGTGCTCCTAGGAAGCCTGTTCCACACCTCAAAGTGGCCAACCCCGTGCCTCAGAGTCACTTTAAGCAAAACTCAGAAAACAGGACATCCAGATGCATGGACATCCAAGCCCCTCATGTTGATCCAACAAGACCTTTTTAATGTTTTCCACACTATTCTTGAGAAAAGGAAGGCCAACTTATTAGCCAAGCCAAAAAGATGCAAAGAGTTAAAGAAAGGAAGGAAGGAGAAAGAGAGAGGGAAGAAGGGAGGGAGGGAGGGAAGGAGGGAGGGAAGGAGGGAAGGAGGGAGGGAGGAAGAAAAACATCATGGTGCTGGGCTACTTGCTTAGAATTAAAAGTCAGTGGTAGAATAAATCAGAAGTATTTACATATTCAAGAATTCTTAATGCTACATTCATTAAGTGGTCTGTGCTTTTCAAAATTCTGAACAACAAAGAGCTAGGTGACCAATGTGCTGGCCCAGGACATTTCAGGCACAGAGCCTGACACAGAACACTTAATCCTGTGAGAGGTAACTCCAGTTCAAAAACTCACTGCGATGGAGCTTTCTGGGAAGGGATAGGGGAGCTCATACCTCACCACACCCAGAAAGTGCCTGTTTGGGATTGCTGGTATGTGCTTTGGGTATTCTTAGATGAAACTGCCACATCTCTAGAGGACAACTGTTGTTTCAAGGGACTGGGCATGGCACAACCCATCTCGAAAAGTCAACAGAACCACCTCCAGGGCTCCTTTAGGCCCTCCAGCTCGGCCTGTCTCCCACCCCTCAGTTCTTTTCCAACTGGAAAACTGACAGACCCTTCATAATTCCAGCAGAAGGTTCTTCCTGCCTTTCCCTTTCCTTCCACAGCCTTCTCTCCTACTTGATACACACACACACACACACACACACACACACACACCTCTTGCCGATACTTCATTCTCACAGACACCTCCAGATGCCAATTAATTCAGTGCCTCTCATCGGCCGGTCCAGCCAAGGGAATTCTTTAAGAGCTGTTTAGCTTTTGGTCTTCCCTTGGTCCCTTACTTGGGATTTTCCTTTAAAAGAGCCAGTGATAACTTCTTCCCCTAAAGAGGCAAATCGGTTTTGAGTGTGGGCTTGTCTCCACCGCCTGGCTGTGCAGCCGGGGCACCCTGTCAGCCCTTCGGGGTGAGTTTGGAAAGATGTCCATATCTTCCTACCACCGGAGCAGCTTCCGGGAACCGCGCGAGCTAAACGAGCCAGACCCGGCTAGAGAAGGAGGCACGGCGGCCCTGGGCCGGGCGGTGGAGCACAAGCAGTGGCGGCCCCGGGAACTTCGTGCGGCTTCAGGCCCTCACTCTAGTCGGAGCCAGTCAAGCGCTAGGATCCCAAGCGAGAGCCCAAGCTCAGAGATCCGAGCTAAGCCCGAGCCCAGCTCAGCGCTCTAAGCCCCACTCTGAGCCCCAGCCCAGTGCCGGAGCTCCAGCCCAGGGATCCAAACCCTGTCCGAACCCCAGCAGAACATCCTGAGCTCCAAAGTGAGCCTCCAGCTCGAACCCCAGTCATGCACTAGGAGCCCCAGCCCCGGTCCTAGCCAAACTCCCGGAGGAGCCCCAGTCGGTGCCCCAGCTCAGCGCTTGGAGCCCGCGCCCCGCAGCACGGCTCGCGGAAGCCCTCGGCATCACAGGACGGGCGGCCGCCTCCCACACGCCTCCTATCCCCAAACCAACAAATAAACACAACTTTTTATGAAAAGAAAACAAACTTCAGCGACATGACTCACCTCTCCTGCAGCCGGAGCCTGGGAAGAGGGGGCTGGGGCTCTGGGTCCCGCGTGGTGAAGCGGAAAGGGCCACACGGCCCCACGCACACCGACACACAACGCACAGCGCGATGACACACGGGGACACACACCACGGGAGAGTGGCCGCAGCCGGAGCAACAAAGGAGCCCCAAGACCCAGAAGTTGCGGCCGGAGGAGGAAGGGCTTGTCTGGCCGCGGCGGGTATGAGGTGCGAAAGTGTGTGAGTGCGGCCGGAGCTGACACCAGCGAGACCCAGCTCAGGGTCCCCACTGCAGGAAGCCGGAGCCGTGGTGGCAGCGGCGGCAGCAGGCGGACAAGGCAGGGGACGCCGCGCCCAGCGCACCCACTCCCTCCATATGGAAGACGCTTTTTTGGATGACTGAACTTGCAAACAATTCCTTCTTTTGCTTCTCCTGCCTAGGAGCCTCCCATTACCGCTCGAGGAGGGGAGGGGAGCCGAGGAGGCGGGGAGGAGGGGGAGGAGCGAAAGGGAGCAAAGAAAAAGTCTTGAAAAGGAAACTGGGGTGGGGGGGAACTAAACTGTCCCCCCAAATTTTAGAACAGTTTTTCCCTTAACGCCTACTTTCTTTGCTCTGCGTTAGATTCACTCAGTCCTTCCAAATTATTTTCTTTGACCACACCAAAAGTGCCTTCCTCCCACTCGCGGGGCGCGGGTCCACCCTGTTTCACTTCACCTTGGACCCTTCCTTTGGCCAGCACTACCCCTCCTCCCCGTGGCTAGTCACCGCTCCCTGAGCCTTTTTATGGCACCCACTTCTCAATTTCTTTATCATTCTGAAAAATTCAAACAAACAAACAAACAAACAAACAAACCTACCAGATAAAGCAGTAAGAATAAAGTTACCATTAATAAAAGCAGGGCAATCCCCCAACCACCACCACCACTACTTCCCCCCCCCCAAAAAAAAAGCGAGTCAGGGGCAATTAGGAAAATGATAAGAAAACTCATCATGGCAAAACCATAAACCAGCCTTCCCAGACACTCGGTTGGCTGGGAAGGGTTTGCCAGGTCCTTGGCTTGACCTCCATTCATCATCCTAGGAAAGGGGTTGGGGGTGATGTCACGGAGAGTTAGTTCATTACCTCCGTGGTGGTTGGACAGAAAACATCCACAACAGTAATTTTCATACCCATTGTGGCGGAACTTCTTTGGACAAATTGTTACAACGTAGATAGATGGGCTCCACCTCCAACTTCTGATTCAGTAAGTTTGTGCTAAGAAAGAATTTCTTTAATTTTCAGGTGATCTGAAACTGCTAGCCCAGGTCCACATCAAAAAAATAATAATAATAACGCACTTTTATACACAAGTCCAATGCTAAGTTAAGCTGGCAACGCTGGATTTTCTAAGAATGCAGCAGACCCCGTGAGAGTTCCTTCTCCCTTATGTTTTAGGAGTTAAGCCATTTGTCAAAGCCTTGTTCAAGGTGGAGAGGAGGTGGCCCTTGGAGTGGGCCATCCAGGGAAGAGCAGGGTGAAGAGAGGTGCTGTTTTCCCCGAATGGCAGAACAGTGATGTTGGGACTCAGAAAGCCACTGCGTGACAGAAAAGAAATCACTTAAATTTTTTTAGGTCATGGTTTTATTTTCTGTTGTTTCTGGTTGTTCTCAGTAAACAAACAAACAAAATCCCACACAGTTCATGTTCAGCACATGATTCCAATTGAAGCAGGAGGAGGAAGGGAAAGATTCTACATTTTACAGCATTCTTCCCGCCCTGCCCCCCCCCCTCCCTCGTGTTAGAGCAGGAGCCAGTTTCTGCATTGGTTTATCTGGCATTTCAGGCTCTATGTACATGCCTAGATGGTTGGGCATATCCCCGTGGCCAAATGGATCAAGGGATGCCATATTTTAATAAGACAGTGGAAAGGCTCTAGAAATCCCTCTTTGAACCTCCCACCTGTACCCAGTACACTTCCCTCCCTTTTCATTTCCATCAGTTTGAAGACTCTCTAAGACCTGTTTCTCTCCCCTTGTTCAGTGATGATGTTACCTTCTGCCATCTCACTGACCCTCTGTGGCACAACAGAGGATAGTGCGACCTGAGAACCACCCTGGGAACAGAACTTGTAATTCCCAGAGAAAATGAAAGCTGACAGTTTGCTATTGTGTGAACACTACCTTTCCCTAGAGCCCCAGGCAGGTAAGGGTCTGCTTTTCTGGTTTTTTTTTTTTTCAAAATTTATTTTTTTTATTGTTTAAATTTTTAAGGTTTTTAAATTAATTTTATTTTCTTATGTGTGTGGGTGTTTTGCCTGCGTGTGTATCTGTATACTACACACATGTCTGGTGCCTGTGGAGGCCAGAAGAGGGCATTGGATCTCCTGGACCTGGTGTTACAGAGAGTTGTAAATTGCCATGTAGTTGCTGGGAATTGAATCCAAATCCTCAGGGAGAGCAGCCAGTGCTCTTAACCACTGAGCTATTTCTCCAGCCTCAGCATTCTGCTTTTCAAAAATACTTTCCAAATACCACTCCCACTGGTGATGGTGTGAGATCCAGTAATAGCAAGGCGCTTGAAGTTCTTAGATCTCCGTATCCTTACACATAGGATACACGGCTTAGCATCTCAGAGATGTCTCCTCCTACCTGCTCAACGTATTCTTCTCTTAGGACTCTCCATTCCTCCCACTTTGGACTTTAGGTCTATACAGTCTTTTCGTGCTGAGCCAGAGCATTCATTTTTGCTCGCATGTATTTAGCCAGGAGGGGGCCCTATGGCCTCGCCCCTCCCCCAGGCAGGCTGATCACCATGCGCACTTACTTGCCCCTACTATGATTTATGCAGAACTTAGATCTGCAGCTTCAGGCTCACTGTTGGCACCTCAGATGTGTTTATTGTTTTTGTGGATCTTTGTATTAGTATGGCTGTGTTTATTTTTATAGCTACTGTATCCCCTCACTCCCTTCTGCCTGGAGCATATTTCTTGCCCTCTAACTGCTAGTTTCTCTCTCTCTCTCTCTCTCTCTCTCTCTCTCTCTCTCTCTCTCTCTCTCTCTCTCTCTCTCTCTGCTTTTGGGACAACGTTTTCTGTGCAGTCCTGACTGTCTGGAATTCTCTCTGTACACCAGGCTACCCTTGAAATCACAGATGCCTCTGCCTCTGCCCCTGACCCTGCCCCTGTCTCCTGAATGCTGAGATTAAATACGCACACCACCACCACCATCACCAGTTTCTTGACTTACACTGCTCCACCTTAGCACACCAGCCATCTTGAAACAGTTAGATGAACTATGAGCTGAATAAGGAACTCAGCAATACATTCTGTTAAAGGCAATTTACCTCTGGCATCCTGCTTTGGAGAGACTTTGTGAGCACCAAGAAGGAAGAATTTAGTATTATTTTAAAATAAATTATTAATTTATTCTACTGGGAAGTGGAAGGGCAGACAAGGACTGCAGGTCTCCGTCTCATCACTGTCATTAAGTCTGAGTGCAGTGAAAAACACTACTCTCCTTTTGGTGAGTTATAGGCACCCCTAAGTGTCATATAACCTGAGGACTACTTAGTTACAAAGAGTAACTGTGGATTCTCCCACAGTGCTCTCTGCTTTGCAGAGAGAACAACTATGGGATAGACAAAAAGCAACAGGGAGTTGACTGTTTGCTCCCTTTGTTTTCATATGAATCTGCGTTCTTGATTACAAACTATGTGCACTGAAGAACATTCAGACTGCAAAAAACCCCAGCAAGGGCAACATCACAGTAAATCTACCACATAAGGACAATGCTGTGAACATAGTAGAATGGTTTTTGTTTTAGTCATTTTCTTTCTTTCCTGCTTTGTTTCTCATCAGTATGTATTCCACACTGAGTATATGATTTTCATTGAGTAAAAAATAATCAGAATTTATTTAAAGGGAAATATAAGCCAGAGACATTCATTCAAAATTTGTATTATTTTTTTTCTTATACACTTGATCATTCAGGCAGAATCCAGGTCCTTCACTGATTTATCTGTAGCTGACTATCTTCCCAAATTGAGTCTGTTGCTTTTTAAGATTAACAATCGACCATGATTAATTTCCTCTTGAGTCATCTTCAAAGTTTGATTTCAACAGTGCTGTTGCATCAAAAAAAAGTTACTTTGTTTTCAGTCATTCTATTTTTACACATCTCAGTGGCTTCATTTACATTGTCATCCTGCATTGCACTTGACTAAACATCTTACCATAAATCTGTATGATTCTGATTATTTTCTAAACATGGATTTCTAGATGAAGGAATTTTGGATCATTTGCTAGGATACACCTTCTAAATGCTTTTATTAGTATTAAAACATTGAACTCCATGAGGTCAGTATCCATTTCCAACATTCTGGTTATTTGAAATAAAACAAACAAACAAACAAACAAATAAACCAATGACATCATTAAACAGAAAGCCCCAAGTGGAGAGTTGAGTAAATTACCCAGTTTCGGGGGATCACACTCACCAGATAAGGAAAACAACTGTCAAGCATACACAGCAAAGACAATGTTCAAGTGTGAGAGCTGAGCAATGCTTGCTTACTAAGTAAAACCTGGTTAGATTGATTATCTTGTTTAACCTTTCAGCATCCTTCTAAGAAATACGCTAACAACCCCTGAACACTTTCCTCTCTTGGTCTCTGCGACGGATTTTG